CACCCGTATACCACCCGTATACCACCCGTATACCACCCGTATACCACGTATACCACCCGTATACCACCCGTATACCACAAGTATACCATGCATATACCATAAGCTCAAAATATTATCATAGCAACAAAATACATAAGTGACCAAAATAAAAAGCGGCATTCCGCTGATAGGAATGTCTGCTCTGCTGACAGTCTTTCCTTTTGCATGGATCTTGCCAAATGCACTTCTAATTGCGATAACATCTTTGATGTTGATGTACCTATGAATACACCAACCAAATGTCAAAAGCAGAAAATGACTCCCTCAATCCACATTCTTGGAGAGGTGCTCTTGCGCTGCCTTGGCAAACTTCTCAAGTGCCGAATCGTCCATCTTGGTCAGGAACATCTCCACTTGCTTTGTGCTTTCGACCCGCTGCTTCAAGCTCTTGTGCAACTCTTTGATGGTAGAGTCGTCATACTGGTACTCCAAGATCTTGCCATTTGCAGTGGCCTGGGGACCCTCGATGATCAACTTCTGAGAACTCTTGAGAATCTGGGATGCTGCATCGTACTCCTGCTTCAAGTGTGCACTGCCATACTCACTCTTGGAAGCTTTCTTGCCATCCTTCACCAAAGGCTCCAAGAGCCGCACTGCTTTTCGACAAAGTCCCAAGACCTTGCTGTTTTCCTTTCGAGCCTCTGCTTTGGCCTCCTTTGAGACATGGTTTTCCTTGCGCTTCGGGGCTTTCCCTTTCCCACTCCTCTTCTTGTTCTTATCCGCTTTCTCTGAGCCACTGCTGGAAATGCTTTCCCAGTCTTTGAAGTCATGCTCATCGATCTCGTCTGGATCTTCGTTCTCCTGGTTCTCCTGCTCCTGGTCGCCAGTCTTGCTCTTTGCCCTTTTGCTTGGCTTACCTCAGAAACTCGGGGATGATGGAATTCCCAATTGAAACAAAAGCAGCAACCCACAAACATATAAATTAATAAAACATACATATATATATAAATTAAAAGCCCAGCTGCCCTTGACGATCTTCCTCTCTGCCTGAAGAACTCGTGAGCGCACATCTTCTTCCAGATGTGTGAAGCCAGTCTGAAGGATAGGCACCTTGTAGACATAGCCGAACCTAAGTAGCACTGCGTGGTTGCAAAATTGTTGACAGACAAGTTCATATACAACAAAAAACAACTATACAAATATACAGCGCCAGTCAGAACTAAGTAGCAAGTCAGACTCCTTTTTCTCAGCTCTGGCCTCGATGGCAGCTGTGTCAAAACCCTTCTTGGCATAGACCGATAGAGGCAAGTACTTGCCCTTCACACTGGTCTCCCGAATGTGACGCTCATGCTCGCACATAGAATCCACCAGGCAGCCCTTCAACTTAGCCCATTGCAGATTCCCGCTGGGGTCACTGCACTGCCCAGCTTTGATGAAGAAGTCTGCCATCTGATCTGAAGAGAAGTCCTTCCACCCCTCCAGATTCTTCATATCAATTTTCTTGTACAACATGGAGGTCACATTGTGGCAAGTCCGGCAATGGACACCAGCATGGCCTTTTTTTCTCACAACATGAGTGGGGACAGCATTGACTGGCCTTTTGCAATTTGAGCAGTAATCTTGAGGTGCCTTCTTCAAATCAGACCAACCAAACTGCTCAACTGCCTTCGGGCCATGCACACTCGCCACTGACTGAGTCGCCGATTGAGGTGTGGCTGGCTGAGGTGGTGGAGTTGGCTCCTCAACTTCCTCAGCCTTATCACCCTCATGAGACTCTGGCTGGGTGTCATAGATCTGAGTCACCTCATTGCCTAGCTGGTTGTCAACAGATTCGGCCATGATGCTCTCTGGAGCAACTTCCAGCACTGTTTATGCCTGGAGCCTCAAATAAAACAATGGCTTGCATCTGAGAAAATGAACTGTCGAAAAAAAGCGGTTGACACCGCTCAAACACTATACAAACTATCAAAATAAAGATCAAAACGCCCAAAGCATTCCATAGCAGCAACCTTTTTCCCAATGCTTGTTGCAAGATGTGAAATCACACCTATAACCCTCCTATGCCATCAAACTAAGATGGACTCTTTTTGCCCCAAAGGTCTGCAGCCTCACGATGCGCTTCTCGTGCGAGCCGCTTTGCTTCGTCTGCGCCCAATCCCTCAGCCAACGATTTCGAGTATCGTTTGTGATATTGCCTGCTGGTGAAAGTCTTCTTAGTGTCAGTGCTTCGAATGTCATCTTCTGCAGATGGCTTTGCATGGGACTCATCCATGCCGGCATTCTCTGCAGGTTTCTTCTGCACGATCTTTGTCTTCTTTTCCGATTTCGGTTTCGAAATCTGCTGAGGCTTGGGAGAACTCTTGTCATGGCGCTGACGTTTTGTTTCCTTTTTGCCAACTTCCATTTGCTGTCCATCTTCTGAAACATCAGGCTCGACAGCACGTTTTGCTTTCTTCTTGCTTTCCTGCCTGGGAGCATCACCCTTGTTTTTTTCATTCTTGGGCTTTCCTTTTGCTTTGGGCTTCCCTTTGGAAGCTGCTGCTTTCACATCTGGGTCTTCCTTGCCATTGCCTTTTTTCTTTTTTTTTGCAGCCAACTCTGCCTTGAGCCTTTCCAAGACCTCCAAGCAATCCCCTTTCGGATGGCTCTTCTTCTCTTGCTTCTTCATTTTCTTGGAAAGTTCTTCACCAGGAACTATCTTCACGGCTTGGTTCCCTTTTGTCTCCTGCTCACCCTCTTCACCTTTGGGAGGGCAATCAGCTTTGACTATATCTGTGATTGCATCCATCGGTTTCACTGGAGCTGGAGGTCTGGCCTTGACTGGACTTGCTGGAGCACCAACAACACCGGGGATAGGCAGCACTGGCCCAACTTCAGAAACCATGCTGGTCTGAGAATCTTGTTGAGGATCCACATCCATCAGAGCTGGGACCATCAGAGCTGGGACTGCATGCATCTTGGAGATGAACGGCGCAAGGGCTGATTGCCCACCATGAAACCACGAAGAGGCTGTGTGAGTCTTCCTTAATGGCATGCTTCTACACAGGCCCAGGAAACTCTCCGTCACATAGCGCTGAGAAGGTTTCCTCAGGCGCAGGCAAATTAGTTCAAAACAAACAAAAAGGACAAACAACAAAACAACCAGGAAACAAACAATGATAAATCCATTCCAGCTTCTCCTTCGCAAAGACTTCTTCAAGGACACTGGGCACCTCTGTCACATCATGAGGCAAACTCTTCAACCGTTTCTCATTGGGCACAGGGTTGTCTTTGGCAAGCGTCAAAAGGATCGATTTGATCTTGGGCTTCATGGACATAAGGCTTTGGTATCGATTGCTTTGAGAAGTCTCATGCTTGCTCCAAACACTCCAGCAAACGATGCAAGCGATGACTCCAAAGGTGGCTTCTGTTGGATTGACTAATCCGCATCTGTGAGCATGAAGGCAAACCAGGTGCAAGATCTGATCTTTGCAAATAGCTAGGTTCGCGACCGTTCCCCATATGGAATCTGGAATCCAAAGTGGAAGCATGGTGTAGTCTTGGAGCCCCCTTCGATCACACTTCTTTTGCTCTGGTGCTGCCAAAGAGATCTTCTTTGCCGTCCCCTCTAAGAGGATCTGCTTCGAACCCTTCCCAAAATGGATGCATTCTCCTATAGCCTCTGTCACACAGGCAGCTTCTTCAGGACCCCAAAGCGAGGCCTTCTCTATGGCAACGGAAAGTTTGTCCAACTGCTGCCTTTCTATGGAAGCGGCCGTAGGTAACTTGGCAATGTTACCTAAAAACTTGTCAGTGGCCTTCAAGTTCTTTACAAATGAAGCAGCCATGACTTTCACCTTGAACAAAAATCACCATGCAAAGCGGTCAGAACCGCTGAAACATGATCAACCTCGTGCGTGCCTGCTCATCCAATCCACGCACCTCATTTTTTCCACAAGAGCAGATGCAATCCTGCAGGAGTCAATGGTCCACAGCCTCTTTCTTCATCTTAGAGATGACCATCTCCTTGATCTTGCCAAGCTCTCCAACTGAGACGGGCCACTCTTCAGCCAGCTTATCGATGGATGTCCTGCATGTAGGGAAAACCAAAAAAAGAAAGAGAGCAGAAAAACATATCACTCGAAGTCTTCCACTTATATTTACTGCTGTACTCTGTTCAAGAAAACAATGTTTCTCAATCCCAGCCACAACTCTTCGCGCCCTGAAATAAAAATCTGCTTCCACATCAGCTGGCCATCTCGTATCACCCATTTGGTGGAGAAGAGGAGTCGAGGAATGCCGCGAGATCTTTTTGTAGACCTCAGAATGAAGACAAACAGTAACACTTCAGAACACAACCACAAACAATCTCAAAAATAAACGAAAAACTTCCACCATGCAAATGAAAGGCATCTCTGGCAACAATATATCTGGTTCTTCGCTCGGGCGCTTCATCGCACCGATATAAACTGATGCGCCCCGATAAACACTGCGGGCAAATGCAAAGCCGATGGAAAGCGGCATTCCGCTGAAAATAAAAATGACAGAAAAATTGCAAATTCTGAAAGAAAAAAAGGTTTGAATGTGTGAAAATTAACCATGCCATTTTTCAGAAAAAACACAAGTTCGTAAGTATGTGCATAACTTTTGCAAGTGTGTCTATAATTGTTATAAGTGTACATGTAACAAAGAAGATAAGATGCATATGTTACTTATAATTTTCTTATATGTGTGTGAATACTTATAAGAAATATTATAAACCTCTTATAACCTATAATATAACTAAAAGGAAGCACTATAGTAGCAAGGATCCACTCCCCACAACTCACATGGGAGTGCCCTAAGGATCCAAGTCCGGACCCTCGACCTCTATAACAAGGGTTTGTACCCTCAAAACCCTGGTTTTGTTTCGGGTGCGGATCCTGATCGGGTGGAAGAAAACCACGCACCCGAAGAACTCCGAGTCCGGGCTCGCGATGGCAGGCTCCGAAACCTTCTCCACCGATCGAACCGCAGGGCGCAAAGGGGCCCGGTGACCAAACCCTATGTGTTGCTGAAGGGGCCCGGATTCGGCAAGAAGGAAACATCATGGTCTTCCGAACGCCAGGGGGGCCATGCCTTGCACGTAACTTCCTGTGAGCTCCAGGAAGTGTACACTGACTGGAATGCGTGGATTGAGAGTGGGTGGCACTGGCACCCCAAGATGTCTTTGATATATAGGTCCATATAAACCACATGTGGGGGGATTGTGCCATCTACACTCGACCCACCAGTCGCCGCACTCTGGGCCCAGCAAACTGGGCACCCGCCGTCCAGCGAACTGAATGAGAGCCAAGGAGTGGTGATGTTCTGGTCCCGTTCGCTTCGCGACCAAGTGTAGAAGTTGGGACCCTCCTAGGTAAAGAATGTTTGTAGAATTTCTACCTTATTATATAGAAGTTGGTTAGTTGGGACTTGATGATTTTTTCAACCATCTAACCCCTCCGACGCCTATGTCTCCAATGTCTCCATATTTCTCCAGTCCTGGACGGATGTTCCTTTCGGGACCTTCTCCCCGTGGTCCAGGTCTTTGTCCAAGCCATTTATCGGATGATGGCCGGGGAGCTCCAGAGCACCGCTTGGAGACATGGGTCCCGCAACAGAGACATGGGAAGAAGCTCCTGCTCCGCTTGGTGGAGTGGGTTGTGCATGGGTTGGATTCTTGGGGTGTTTGCCGTGTTGTTTGCCTCGTTGGTATCCAGTTTGTTTGGGATTTGGGGATTGTTGTTGGGGTGCCCTGGTTAGATTTAACCAAGAAATCTGATAAATTAGACCATATGGTAGTCATACTATAGACCATGCATTTGAACTTCAAGAAAAGGCCCAAAGAAGCTGGAAGTCTCAGACCTCCCAACAGGGGTGAATGATGTGGCCCTAAGGATCCGCACCATCAAAAACAATGGTTTTGAGGATACATGGAGGGTACAAATCCTTGTTATAGAGGGTTCGACCCCTTCTAAGGAGGGTCCAAGGATCCTTAGGGGAGATCAGTTTTTGTTGCTGAATGCGTTCGTTGAATCCACTGTAACTTTAGAGGCTTTGTGGTTAACTTGGCAGTGGAATCTGCCGAGTTTGCTACTCTGGTGGTTTGACACCCACACTCACAGAGCTTGGAAGCTCAAGAGAGAGAAGGACATGTTTCATGGACGCGGATGTATCATCCTGAAACGTGAGCGGAGCAAAAACCGGAACCAACTCCTTTTGTCCCTTTTTCTCCTCTGCGATGTTACCACCTACGCCACCGTCACTGTGACAACCTACGATCTTGGGACAGAACGTTGGTCGTGTTGATGGTTTCTCCATTGATGAACAAGCTGACCAGGGATCAAGTCCTAGGGCGAAAGAACTTTCTGGATCATATCCACTTCTTGGGGGCTCAGGGTTTCTTCTCCACGCTGAGCAGGGATCAATTCCTGCAATGACAATCCACTTCTTAGGGGCTTTGCCAGCCAGCACGACATGTCGCACGTCAGGTGGAAGGCTTTCCTCCGGAGCAAAGAGCATTGTCATTGAGCAGCCAGGCCTGAAGAAGAAAACATGTGTTGCAGGGTGTGCGAACAGATTGGCCCAAGGGAACATATTTAAAAAAATAACAATTATATATATATATATTGTTTTAATATATTTATATGTATACATAACGTACCTAGAACCCATTTGACCCCTGTTTTGATAGGAAAAGACCATGTTTTGGCTCCAAAACAAGGGTCAATCAGGTTCTAGGTATATATATATATAATGGGTATAGTTTATTCAATATATGTTAAAGAGTGTTACAATAGTGGCAATTGGCTCAAATAATAGGGGGAAGGAAGCCAAGA